CACGCCTGACTCACACTTTACTTTGCTGAACCCCTTCTTTCTGTCCAAGGCTACTTTGTTCGACCTTCAGTGACCATTTGCATCAGAGGCCTTAAATGTACAGGCACGGGGCTCGGCAAGTTCTGGGGCAGGATGACAGGAAGGGGTAGGGGTTGGTCCCAGGCAGGGAACGTGGGTGGGAGCTTCTGCTAGGTTAATGTCCTGCTAGTGTTAGAGCAGGGCAGGCCTTTCAGAGAGGAGGTGGTCATTAAGATGTTTCACGGACCACAAAGGAGAAACTGGAAACTAAGCGGGCAAAAGCAGAAAACCTGGAGGCCAAAATTCACACTGGAAGTTGTTTTCCCTCAAGTTAAGGAGTTGGGAAACGAATATGTGTGAGTGTGCAATTATACACCATCCATCCAGCCAGCAGGTCATCCAGCCATCCACCCAGCCACCCAGCCAGCCAGCAGGTCATCCATTCATCTTCCCATCCACCACCCATCCTGAACTGTACTCACCGTGGACCAGTGTCACAGAGACAGCGGGAATGAGAGGACCAAGGCTCTGCTGCCCAAAGCTAAGCCCGGGCCAAAGGCTACAATGGACAGATGGCTGCAGGTGGCAGCGAGCACTGGGAAAGGATTAAGCAGGCTGCAGAGAGAAAAGCGCCAGCCAGGTGCTTAGGAAAGGCTTCCTCCAGAGCCCAAAGCTCAGCAAACACAAACACAGGGTGCTCAGTCAGACATGAGCTTTGGGTAAAAGCACGACCCTTTTTCATCGTAAGGGTACCCCATGTAATACTTGGAGCCCTAGTTATTATCGATTCAAAATAAAAACGTGACTGTGTGTCTGAGTTGTAGGCGGCCTCGTGAGTGCAGGGAGAAGGGTGAGGGAGGCACAGGCTTGCAGAGGCGGCTCCTGCCAGGGCTCCTGGAGCATGGCTTGTTTAGGAACTTGTCCCCAAGTGCCCGTGGTAGGGCCAAATGGTGCATAGAGTTTGCACTGTATTCTGATCTTTGGAGTTTTAAAGAAAGATCACAGTAATGTAGCTATTAATTTCCCTGCACACTCCAGTTTGGCCACGTTTCCCAAAGGAAGCTCCACGGACACTGCATGAGAACAGCTGTTAGCTTGGGCACGGTGGCACAGCCTGTAATCCCAGGGTGTGAGAAGCGAGGCGGAGGACCAAGTCCAAGGCCAGCCCAAGCAACATGGTGCGATCTTGTCTCAAAATAAAAAAGTAAAGCAGCTCAGGAATGCAGCTCTGTACTGGGCTCAATGCCCAGTACCACAAACAGGCACAGGTGCACGCACACACACACACACAGGAAAATGGACTTTAACACTCTTTCACCAGGCCTTCAGAATGGCCTAAAGCGCTACAGGAGGAAGAGACCCAGGGATTCTGATTCTTACTAGAGGATAAATGAGTATTAGAACAGGATGCAAGCAGGGAGACCTCCATTGCTGGAGTGCTCTAAAAATAGTTTCCAGTGCTGTACTCCACCTCTACAAAGATTTTGGACTTCGGGTCTAAACTAGACAGCACAGAGCAGCAGAATCTGTACACTGAAGAGGAGAAAGTGCTCATTCTTAATGTAGGCGGGAACAACTTCGCCCTCACACGCCCCGTCCTGACACTGACCGGAGGGCATGCTTCTCCGAGGTGACTCAGGCCCTGTGCACAGACACTAGAGGATAAAAACCCAGGAGCTCTGGCCAGCTGGAGAGGCTAGGTGGAGCTCTGTGCAGCCACAGCCCCTCAGACACTCAGCACTCCCAGGATGGGCAAGAGGAAAAGCGCCTGTCTAAGAGCAAGGCAAACTGAAAATGTCGCCAAGAAAACCAAAGCCCAGAAACAGAATGTGGGTGATGTTTTTGACCTCATAGTTACAGAAGGTCTCTGGGTGGACGGTGTTTAGGGGCAGGGAAAGGCTGAGCAGGTAAGTATCTAGGCACTGGTGACAAGAAGGCCCAGCAGGGGCAGTGGCCCCTCCGGATTCCTTGTCTGTGGGCAAGGCAGAGGGCGTGAGGAAGGCAGGCCCAAGAGTGGCCAGCTGGGGACACCGAGCACCTGCACACTTCCAAGTGGCTGGCTAGAGTGCTCGGCAGAGGTGGGTAACAGCCTCAAGGACCTTAGCTTTGGTCTGTCCCACGCTCTGTCCCAAGAGCTCAGTCCCTGCAGATCCCGCTCAGTGATGAGAGGTGCGGAAGGCACGTGCCTGGCCTCCAGTGTTAGGGAAGCCAGCACGGAGGAAGATGAGAGGGGGATCGGCGCCCCCATCCCATGCGCCACTTCAGAGTTTCTAAGTGGGGATATGTGATCCCTCCCAGGGCAGGAGGGGGTACATCTGAGTTGTCACTGCAACCCATGAAAATCATTTGTGGGTCCAGTCACCTTTAAGTGACAGTAGTGCCAGCAGGGGAAGTTGGTGTGGATTCAGATCTTTAATTATCACTTTTAAAAGTCTTCAAAAGCACCACCCTGCAGTGCAGTCTCTGGGTTGGACTCTGCCCTCCACCGGCTGGCACTGTAGTGGCTGAGGTACGGACCCTCTCAGAGTGATTAGTGGTGTGTAGTGCAGGGGTCCACCCACAATGCCCAGATGACCATTGGAGCTGTGAAACGTGCAGCAACAGCTCAGCGCACTGGGGAGACCACAGCGTCTGGGGAGCCTCGGCATGGACCTGCAGGCTCTGGCATCTCCGGGATGCAGGCACAGTGGCTCCCCAGTGATCGGTGCTGGCCAAGTGTGCTTCCCTGGAGCAGCTGCTGCAGGGGGTGCTTTGCCTGCTTGTTTCTCCCCAACGAGATTCTTTTCACTGCCTCCCCAGCGGGCAGCTGGTGGGCCAAGGGGTGGGGCTGAGAAGGGGCTGGGTGAGCAGTGTCCGCCCAGGCCCACCTTTCCCCTGGAAGGGGCTTGTGACAAGTTTTAACACTGTGCTAAAAAAAGTAACCCTATACAGTTGTAATCAATAAGCAAACAAGCCAAAAAAACAATAAAAGCAAAAGCGACAGAAATAATAAAAAACAATAGCAATACAGGCTTTCAAAACAAGATGGTAAGAATTTAACACTGGCTGTTACACTGCATATTGTTATCTTCAGAATAGTTGCTCAGGTTACCAGATGCAGGAATAAAACAATATAGTAAAAAAGAACAAAACACTCAAAAACAAGACAAAAGGAAGTTACCCAGTTCTATAACGCAGTTATCTTCCAAACAGAAGCTCAGACCACCAGCTTCATGCTGAAACGTCAGTCAAGCAGTACAGGCATTAAGCAATTTCATTATTTCGGTTTTCATTTCATTTCATTTTATTTCACCTCAGCCCAACTCCCTCCAAATCAGCCTGGTTGGCTCATGGAAATGCATGCTTTGGCTTCTTGATTGCTATCACCTTTTAAAAGCTAGAATTATGAACACGTGATCTTTTTCTGAAGATCAGACTTAGACATAATTTGTATTTTATGAAGTGTAAGTTTCTCCTACTTTATGACATCATAAATGAGGGAACCAGTGCAAGTACTGTAAAAGCGCTCTAGATGTTCCAAACAACTGTGACATGATGCAACCTTCTGCTTTAGCCTCCCGCGTGCTGGAAGCACGGGCGTCCATCATCCCTTTGCTCAGTGCACCAGCACGCTCCACCAAGCACTCTGCAAGGCCTGGTGGCAGCCCTTGGAAGTATAATGGCCGGCTGTTGCCAGGTTACCTGAGAAAGGAATGATCAGCCACACAACAGCACTTCTGCGAACATTAACTCATGAATCTTACACCCCTTACGTCTGTGACTTCCTTTCTGGAAAACTTCCATGACCTTATACGAGGGCCAGGTCCAACTTCCTGTGCAAACTGTGGCAAGGAGAGGTCCAGGAAATCCTTAAACACAGCGGAGAATGAGAAATGAAGCTTCTTCAGTGCCCCCAGGGGAAAAGGAGTCGTCCCTTTCCTGTGCATGTGTCACTTGTGAAGGAGCAGCCATTTGGCCCCCACCCCTGGAGCCCTAAGCCCTGGCGGGCAGGAGACCCTGCAGTGGGCAGGACTGGGCAACACATTGAATCTGCCACCAGCAGGAGGGTCTGAACGACAGGGGAGCCATGTAAACTCCAGGGCTGAGTTTTCAAGGCCCTGACTAACCAGTCTGTTGCTGGGCAACAGGAGTGTGTGCTGGTGTGCTGGTGCCACCCCACTAAGCTCAGTCCACTGCTACCAGCTAGGGCTCTCAGAAAAGCATACTGCAGTCTTAGTCTACCAATCAAGTCTTGTTAGTAAAGAATGCGTGACTTCGATTTTTACTGGTTTGATTCTTGCTTTTTCAATTTGTCCTAGACTTGGGCAAGATTCCCTGGCACTTTTTGTTACATAATATTCTCCATAAGCAGGGTAGGTCTGGTGGCATTTTAATGTGATGTTTGCAAACAAAGACACCCAAAGGGACTGTGCGGTGCAGGGCAGGAGCTGCGCTCACGGTGGGCAGGGACCTCACTGGCTTGGGGAGGCTGGTAGGGCCAGCACCTGGGACAGGAAGCGGCTCTGGCACAGAAGAGATGGAACTTTGGAACCAACGGGCGACACCAAGTACAGTCCTCCAAGGCAGAGGCCAGCGCACTGACCACAGGCCCTGGTTTTCTAGCAGTGTTACTACAACACCCTTGGCCCGCCACTCACTCACACGCTGCGTAAGGCTGCTGCTGCTGCGGTACACCAGGCATCTGCGCCAGGGGCCTGACAGACCATACGGCCTGCAAAGCCTGAAGTGCTTTCTAGCTGGCTTTTTACAGACGAATGTGTGGAGCCATGGCCTAGACACAGGAAACAGCCCTGGGTCAGGGGCGCAGGAGGGCCACATGCAGGGAAGGACAGAGGGAGGCAGTGCGGACCGAGGTGGCCATGGGGAGTACCTTGTGTCCAAATGAGTTCCAAGACACCCCGAGTCCCAAGGAGGCAAGGACAGTGGGTCGTTCTCCTCCAGTCCTGCAGAACTAGCAGCGCATAAACCACGTGAAACGTAAGCACCGGTAATCAAAAACATTTTAATGATTAATGTTTAGACATCATTTGACAGTGTAGGATATCCACGTGAGCTAAGCACTCTGACGGCAGCCACTGAGTGTTACCATTTTGGATGGAAATAGGTAAGGACAACTGCGAACTAGTACCTAGGGACGGAGACACACACAAGGACACACAGGCGAGAGCTGTCAGGGCCGTGTAAACCGAGGCTGCAACGCCTTCCACACAGAAACCCACAGGACTAGCATGAGAGCCGGCGGCCGGCTCTCTCTAGTATGAATGTGCAAAATCAAAGCATGGTAAACGGGCATTCACATACACATCAAACCCAGTTAGTTCATACATTGTCAAGGATCTTCTCCGATATCACCAGTGGTTCAGTGAACTTTGTTTCCCAAAGGAGAAGGAATTCAGAGGCTACACTTGAACAAAATGACACACAAAACAGTCCCTGTTTGTTTGACCACTTGCCTCGAGTGTGAGACATGATTTTATGATAAGCAGTCTATTACTTTTAAACAAGCTATTTTAAATAGTTCTTTAGGTTCTAAGCAGAAAAAAATTACAGGTGCTATTAAATTTCCACTGAACAAGTTACCTGTCACTATCCAATTTCCAAGTTCTCTTAGGCTATAGTCATCTGTTTAATTTTGCCTTAATTTTAAAAGTTTTTCCCCTTTAATTGTAGTAAAATAGGCACATTTAGAAGGAAGTTTGTGTTAAAACATACAGCAGCACAGGACCAGTTCAGGTGTGGCCTTAGCAGGTGGCTCTCCATGGCTAGGACATGGGACGCCTGTCAAACAGGAACTACGGACTCATCTCTCTTTAAAAGGATACACTTTCTCTCACAGTGGTGAAGAGCAAAATGGACTTTTTTCTGTATAAAAACACTTAGCACTTCAGAAATTAAAAACGGCCTACCCACTACACTCTGCCTAAAATCTTGAGGACAAGAATATATATTTAAGTTTCATCGAGACTGTTTTAGAGCCCCCCTTTACATCATTAATCATGGCACTCAAAATAAAAAAATAAGATTTGTTAAAAAGTTAAACTGACTGCCCCACTAGGTTTGCGCTTGCCTGACTGAAAGCCAATCCTACAAAACTGAAGGTGCCGCTTCTGATTTCACGTCCACAAGTCACTTGAAATTATATCACATGATGATTTCATAAATCTCATCTCTGATTTTTCTAAACAGAGCTATTACAAATGAGTACAAACTTGAAACATACCCTAATTTAAACTAATAAGCTTTGGGCCCTGCTTCTTAAATTTTAAGGCATGTGTGTTTCTCTACTGTAACAACATTGTACAAATTTACATGTACAATCACATGCATGATCTACAGTTAAAAAAAAAGTTTGGATTACAGTGTTTTAAATTGTGAATCACAATTCAGCACCTATCATGTTATAACTAATAAGGCAACAGCAGTGTCATATACTACAGTATAACTCCCTTTCCACAGTCTAGAGCGGGGGTCACGGGAGCCCAGAAACGTGAGGAGTCTTAGCCTACAAGGGTAACTGGCGCACGCACTGAGGGGTGTGGACGATGGAGGTGGCCCTACACAATCAACTACGCAGGCCGGGCAGGACAGCAGCTGCGCGGGTGGGCACCACGCGCTGTGCTTACAATCTCGGCGTGGGAGGCGCGGCCACCGAGGCTCAGTCCTTCCGCTGCTTCCTGGGCTTCACGCTGCTTTCCAGGGCGGGGACGCCGTTGGTGTGCCCGTTGGCGGTGGCCACGGAGCCATTCTGGTGGTCTTTCCGCCGGGAGGCCCCCTTCTTGTTGTAGGTCTGAAACGCAGGGCGGACACGCCTGAGCGCACAGCGCAGTCTGCACCACCCAGGGTCTGGTTACCAAGCGGTAACTCGGCTCTGTGGGCTAGGGACTCTGAATAAACCGTCTGGCCCTGACTCCAACCACGCTCCCATTTTCAGAGGTTTAGCTCAGGGTGGTAAAGTCACATGCAGAAAAGCCGCCCCACCTCCCTCCGCTGGGCCTGCTGATGCCAAGGGCAGCACAATCAGGCTGCTCTTCCTCCTCCTGCTGCTGCTCCTCTTCCTGCTCCTCCTCCTCCTCCTCCCGGGAGCAGCTCTCTCAGCTCTGGATCCTGCCTGCCTGGCTTCTGGAGCTTCCCACTGTCTTGAGGCGGTAGCCTCAGGCTGCACTGCCACAGCAGCCGGAGCAGGGCCCTCTTCTACCCTCCCTTGCAGCGGGCACATGCCCACCAGCTCCAGACCACAAGCTCAGGCAGCTGCAGCAGTGCACAGGATGCAGAAGAGGAGCGACCTGAGCCTGAAGGGACTACTCCCCTCCCCTCAGCCTTTCCCGCCCCTTTGTCCCCTCGGGCCTGACGCAGCCCTTGACCTCTGCGTCTGCCCAAGTCACTGGGCAGCAAAGCAACCAAGCCACAAAAACAGGAGTGCGTGGCCAACCTGCCCCAAATCTGCCATTCTGCTGGGAAGAAACCTGCATGGTCCCAGCATGGGAGTGAGCTGCACCCCTCATCTTGAGCAGGGGAGATTTAAGGAAACAGACGGAAAGGCAGCTTTCCATCTGACGACAGCGGTGCCGATATCTGGGGAAATCTCCACAGGTTCGGAGGGAAAAACCCTCTCCCACGTGTGGCACAGGCTGAAGGGAAGCAGCAGGAGGTCTGCCCTGCTGCACTCTCTCCATTCCAGTGGGAACCCTGATGCCTCTGCCAGGGTGCAGAACAGACGGGGCCTTCTCGGCCCCCAGTCCTTGGAGGGACGAGCGCATCTCCTGGAAAGCCCTGAGCCAGGAAGCCACGAGGGGGACTCACCTCATTGTAGAAGTTGGTGAAGAGGATGATGAGGGAAATCATGTATCCAATCTGGAAATACAGCCACCCCATCGGGAATGAGCATGGCCAGATGACCCCACAGGTGGTCTGGATGATTGTCAGAACAAACTGGACCTGGGGGAAGGGGACACCACTGAGCAGTGACATGCACAGGGACGGATCACGCCCCGCGCACACTGAACCAGTTCCCAGCCCTTCAGCAGGTACAGGCGCCACCTCACACACGCAGCGCCTGCACTGTGTGCATCCCCAGCACTGCCTCCTGTGGGTCCCTGCACCTCTCCAAGCTGCTTCGAGGCCATAGCACAGCGACTCGAGCGCTCTCTTCCTCACAGTTCCCTGTACATAGAGGGAGGGTGACGGTGTGTGTGCAGAGAGGCCACCCGGCCGGATGGACCTTCCTGCTCCTTAGCCCTGGGCTCTCTGGTCTGGTGGGTGATGAAAGGCTGCAGCTCCTCTCAGCTAACCACTGCTCTGCATTCGCAGGTGGACCCTGAGCAGGAGCCTCTGAAGCAGGTGGGACTGCTCAGAGAGACAGGGGGACTGCGTGCAGATGGCTTCTGGCCACCGGCAGACACACCGTGGGAAGAGCCATGGAAGTGAGTCTGCCCACCGGATCTCTGGCAGTTTCTAGCACTTCCAGGTAGACGCCTTCCTCCTGTCCCTCTGCTCAGCTTAGGCCTAACTATGAGTGGCGTTTAAAACAAACACAGACAGACTGGCCCGTCATCAACCTCCAAGGGCACAGTCTAATAGGGATACTTTGGAGGCCTGGTCTCTCACATCTGTGACTCAGTCTCCTTCCGCATCACACCCCAGGTGCAGCACAGAGGCTTGGGCCACCCCCATCACGGCGGCAGGGGATACGCAAGCCAGGGCTGTCGGGTGGCTGGTAGAGGGGGTGACTGACCACCACACAGGAGCTCTGAAGGCTTTGTCAGGTTGTTATTTTCAAGTGATTTGTTTTAAATACTGACGTGCAGGACCTAAAGCAGCTTGGTTTGGAAAACCATGTCAGAAGGCTGGGGCCCTGGACTCAGGTGCTCAACTGTGTGGTCACAGGGATGCACAGAGCCACTCGCTTGGCAGAAGTACCTGTACATGGTGAGCACTGAGGAAATGTCAGGATCATTTGCACAGCGATATTCACAATACGCCCATGAAAAGCCACAGGCAATGTGGGGAAGCTTAAGAAAAGGTGCTCAAAGAGGGCCAGTGTCATAGTTTATGTCTGCGGCCCCCAAGCCTCATGAGTTTGCATTGTTCATTTGTGATAGTTCATTGTATAGGGCTTGGATTGATGTAATGGCAGGAAGAAGGTGTGTCTTGCTTTTTGCTGGTTCTGGCTTGCTGTTTGCAGCCGCCATGAACTGTGGCCCAGCCATGCCCGCCTGCCTTGGAGCCAACTGAATGTGGACTAAAACCTCCAAAAACTGTAAGAAATAAACCTTTCCTTTCCCAACTTGGGCTTCAGGTATTTTGTCTCAGCGACGAGCAAAAAGTAACTAAGACAGCCAGGCAGCACATGTCTCGAATCCCAGCACCTGGGAGGCTGAGGCAGGAGGATCACAGGTTCCAGCCCAGCCTGGGAAATTCAGCAAGACACTGTCCCAAAAGAAATTTTAAGTGTGTGTGTGGGTGAGTGGGGTAGGGGTCTAGCTAAGTGTATCATGCTTTCAATCCCTGATACTGGGAAGAAGGGAGGGAGGGAGGGAGGAAGGCGGGGGTGGAGGGGACAGGTAGGGTGGTCGGCATGAGATTACTGTCAAGTGCAAACGGTGGCTGGCCCCTCCCTGGGATAGGGAGAGGCTGTCATCCAAAGCAGAGTGGTGGTGCTTGCCACAGGAGCCCCTACAAGGGAGGGGAGGTCAACAGCACCTGTCTTAGCAAATCGCCTCACTGCCCAACGAGCTCCACACAGCCTGGAGCCCACAGCTCCCGCAGCCGCCCCTGGGGGTGGCAGTCTCCAGCCTCAGCTTTGGACTGGTTAAACATGCACACCTGTGCACACACATGCATGTATGTTTCTATGCAACACTAAACACAGAGAGAAGGCGCGAGTTTCAAATCCTCCTCCTATAATTCAATGGGTCACATGCCATGGGCACAGTTTTTCCACCTGCTAAGCGAAGGACATCTCTGATCTGCTTGCTTCAAGGAGAGAAGCTGGATCCAGCAAGAAAAGCGGGGGAGGGGCAATTCAAACCCCACTAACCACCAAGCGAGCCTGGAAGGGGCATGTCCGAACAGGGCACTCACCAGCTGCCCCTGAGTGATGTACTTCTTCCACCACAGGTACGGACGCATAGATGGGATTGACGACAGGCCATAGTATGAGTACATGAGTACGTGGATGAAGCTGTTAAGTGTGGCACCAAAATAGGCTGCAGGAACAGGGGTGGTGTGGAAGGTGGCGGGTTAGCATTGTATTACAGGTAAAAAGAAATACAAGACACTTTCTGGACAAGACACTTCTGAACAGAGCTGGTCAGCACGGCAGCTGTGGGCACTGCCTGGACGTGTTAGGAACTTGTCTTCCATGTGGGCACATGGCCACTGGGATGCCACAGGTCAGGGCACAGCAGAAGCTGCTGGCAGGAGTCTCGCCCACCCCAGCCGGGCACCAACAGGCTCAGCTTCCAGGCCCCTCCAACTCCCTTAAGCAGCTGCTACTTTTTCCTTGCCCAACTGTCCTGGACATATCATTCTGCAGGCTGGGGGACAGCTGAGGGGCAATGTACTCGAAGCAGGCAGTTCCCATGTGTGCTGAGGGCTGGAGAGGCTCTGGAATTACCTGCTAATTACTTTCCAGGACTGCAGTGCTTGCCATGGCTTTCATTCATAACAGAGGCCAAACTCAGCCCCTCTCGGATGAAAGATCCACCTTATGACTTCCATTTCCACCTCTGCCCCCTTGACATTGGACAATGAGACAAAGCTACTGCCTTTCCCCTGGACAGCTGGGTGTGTACAACGCAAACAGCAAGGAATGAGCTGTTGCTCCCGGCTAGGACAGAAACGGACCTAGAACCCTGAACAAGTTATGCCCATTTGCTGGTCCAGTTTTGCATGCACCAGGTGGGGCTGGCCATCCTCTTCAGGTGGAAGGAGGGTGTCCTGTTAACGCTGGTCAGTGCATGCACAGTCACACGGCATGATAGGGGCGAATGCTAGACATGGAAGGAGACCAAGCGGACCAAGAGGGTCTCGGTTTCCTAAGCCCAGAGCAGCTGTATCGGGGAGTCCCTTCTAGTTCTTCGCCTCATGGCTGGGCAGCATGCCAGGCTGAGTTAGTCAAGGGCTGCAAAATCTTAAGGCAAGAAACATCTATGAACAGAACCAAAGGTTCTCAGTCAAAGGCTTTAAAAAATGTGACTGAGCCACTCATAAGAATTCTCAAGTTGAACTTGGTGCCAACTTAACTTCTGAAAATTGTGAGACCACACCACAAGCTTTCCAGCCTTGGAGAACTGACAGCAGATGTCAGTGCATCATGAAGGTCACCCTAGTGAGCACGACTCCTCACACCATGTGGAGATCTGACACACCATGCACCAGGGCTACACTTCACCATCAGCTGATGCCTGGCATGCACTGCACTGGGTGACTGCACCTTTCTGGTCTACCTGGCAGGCGAATGCCTTCTGCCCAGAAAGGACAAGGCTGCCCTTATTTCTAAATAGGGTCTAGGCTGCCATCTGCCTCACCGAGCCCCTCAGTGGAAGATGTTTACTAACGAAACAAATATTCTGTACACACATGGCCCACATTCCAGCATAGAAAGCAACTCAGACACAAAGCTGGTTATGGCTGCTAGGCTGTCCCTCCAAGCCTTGTGAACTTTCAGATGCAGCTTTTCCAGAATTTAGAATGTACGACTTATTCCTAGTACATGCTGGGGTTAAGGCTGCTGGGATCAAGGCTGAGTGACTGCTGGCCTAGTCCTCTGACTGGACCGGCCCCACCCTAACCCCAGCAGTCTGCCTGAGATCAAAGAGGCTTGTTTCCCCTCGTTGCTCCTATTGCATTTGCTGTCTTCTGCTGTCCTGAACTGCTGCCCCTCTGCCATGTGCCACCCTGCCCTGGAACCAGCCAATTATGGACTGACATCACCAACTGAGAGCTAAATAAACCTTCTGTTCTTTATCTTTGAGTGTCAGGATTTTGTCTCAGCAACAACAGAAAAGGAACTAAGCAAAGCTTAAAAGCTTGACCCAGAAATTTACACAAATGGCACACTTTCTCAACACCTTCCATTCGGCTCTCTATGACACCCTCCGCAAAATGACCCCTTACCAACACTTACAGTGGCCACAGGGGACCCAGTTCATCACAAACCACCAGATGTTGAACATGGAAGCATGGTGGTAGACGTGCAGGACTGTGATCTGGTAGTTGTTCTTGCGCAGGATAAAGAAGAAGGTGTCCATGAATTCTATGAGTTTGGAGAAGTAGTACCACCAGAGGACACGGATAATCTACAAGAAAGGGGTCAGAAGGTTTAGTTTACTCTCAGCGTATTTCTAACGCTGCTTCCATCGCGTTCCATTGACATCTCAGAATCTACCACCAACCCAGGGACGCCCCAGCCCTGGACACCCAGCGTGCTCTGGGTGCCGCAGGCTCTGGTCCTGAGTGGCTATCTTGTGGGACAGAACTGACAACAGGGACACACTCCAACACTGAGAGGAGAGCAGCTCAAGCTCACGACCTTGTCACCTGTGGCCCCATCAGTGAGAAACTTCCAGAAAGCGGCTCTGAGTTCAGGGGTTGGTGTGGGGCAGGTGACCCAAGACACATCTGGGGCCTGCCTGCCATGTGTGCAGCAGGTGTGGGTGGAGACCCGGCCCATGCCGAGCGTGGACTGCCAACCTCTTACTTAAAAGCAAAGCATCTCAGTGTGGAAGTGGGTTTTCCCTATAACACCACCACCCACAAGAGTGATGTTTAAAGGTAAGATACTACCATCATGAACTTGTTTCTCTCTCTATGAAACCTGGGAGGTTTGTGCCGTTTTCCCATCATATGCTAACAGGAGTGATTTTTTGCATTGCAGGCTTGTTTGCATTCGACCTTCCAAATTCAAGTTTGCACACTGTGTGTATATACTGCTTACTGTTTTTACATGTCAATAAGGATCACCTAGGCACAGAGATGATACTCCATTTTATCTTCCATATAAACTGCTCTATTTAAAAGCACAAGAGGCAATGCTTACTTAATAAACACTACGAAGCAAAGCGAGATAGTACCTTCATATCTGATTCTCCAGCGCTGCGCGTGCCCTGACAGAAGAAGTTGTATCTGCCTTCCCATACTCCCGTCACCAGCTGGAAAAGGAAGAGAAACGATCACCTGCAGCATCCAAACCCCACCACACCCTGTGCAACTCTGCTGCATGAGTTTTGGAGCCAGAAATCTTACTTTGGGCTGCATGGAGGGACGTTTGTCTAAGAAATACACAATCTTGCGACATGTGCAGAAAGAAAAAATGTCCAATACTTGTTCTGGACTTGTCAAGGGTCATCCTGCCAGCAGAGCGAGAGGAGCCTGGCAGCCCCTCACCCCCGCTGTTGCCACAGAAATGTGTGTTGTTCCCTGGCCCAGTGCCCGGGACCCAGGAACCCCAGCAACCTCTGCCACATCCCTAAACCAGGGCTGTTCAAACATGAAAGTGCAGTACCTGTTACTCACAGGACCAGTCAGATGCGCCCTGCCAGGGTACTTCTCACCCACAGGTCTGGCACGGGGCTAATGAGCTCTCAGGTACTATGGCTGCCAGTCTGGGAATCACACTTTGCAAACCAATGATGCAGGGCTTGGAGTGAGTTAGGCCAACTTCACTTTTTTTTTTGTCTTTTTTTTTTTTTTATTGGTACCAGGGATCAAACTCATGATCACACACTTGCAAAGCAGGCTTATGCCACTGAGCTAAATCCCCCAGCCCCTAACTTCACCTTCTTAACCCCTTCCCCTATCCCATCACCATGGGGCTGTGAACTAGATGCCAGCAGAGCAGGTGACAGTCACCTGTGACGGAGTAGGCACCATGGTGGGAGAGAGGGCCCCAAAACCAGGACTCAAGTGCTGAGTGCTGCCCACAGCTAATCCTGGTCAACAGAGGGCCTGCCCCCTCCTGGGCACACAGGGGAGGGGGTGGCAGAGATACATGGCCACGCAGGCAGGTTCAACGCAACTGCCCTATGCAGCCCCATGCTACCCAGCCGCCACACTCCCAAGGTCTGTGCCACAGAGCACGGCTGCTCTTTGGAATCTAACCCACGGTTTTTTGTTTTGGTCTTTTTCGTTTTTATCGGTACCAGGGATCGAACTCACAACTGCCTGCTTGCAAGGCAGGCGCTTATGCCGCTGAGCTAAATCCCCAGCCCCTAACCTGCGGTTTTTAATGTGGGTCCCAGCCGGAAATGCTGATATACCACCTTCATCCAGGATCTCGTTGGAGTCCAGCCCACCCAGGAGGACATGGCTGGAAGTACTCAGGTGTGAAATCCAGCATGAGATTCCCACGGGGGACCCCACAGATGCAGCTGGGCAGAGAACTGCTAGCTTAGGGTGCAGCTCCCGTCCTGGCTGCAGGGCAGGATCTCCCTGAGAGCTTCACAAACACTATAATGCCTGGCCACAGCCCTACCCCAAAATCAGAATCTTTCAGGGCCTCTTACAAAATCCTCAAGGTTAATTCCAACATTAAACTAGGATCTTGAGCCAGTCATGTCAGGCTTCAGAGCTTCAAGCAAAGGCAGGCTGCTGACCATGGTGTTCGGGGAGACACGTGGAGTGCGGGATGGGGCAGTGGCTGTGCCCATGAACTCCAAGTCAGGTGCACGTGGCAGGCAGCAAGCGTTGGCCTGGATTGGGGTGGGGGCGGCTTCTCCAGATGCAGCTGCGCCCTGGGTGTCACTGTAGGGCTCTGCCCTATACTGGGCTTGGCAACTGACTTTCTCCTTCCTGCCTGCTGTGTAATTCACAGGCCTTTCATGGCTTTGAGGCGTGGTCTGTGCTCTTACCCAAGGGAGGGAAGCACGGAGGGGGCTGTGGGTAGGGCAGCCAGCGAGTTCGCCCTGGAGCGGAGCTATCTCTAAGGCCTGGTTCTCTGGCTGCTGTCGGTGGTCCGTGTCAGCACAGACAGAACCCAGGGAACCTGCGCAGCAGCTGTCCTCCCCTCCCCGCTGAACCTTCTCAGCAGCATGGCCACCTGGGGAAGTGGGCCACACGCAGCCCATGCAGAAGGTGGACCTGGAGGTGGTCTGGTAGGGAACGTGTCCACAGCCGTTCCTTCACCCAGGAGGGCATGGAGGCTATCCTTTGTTGTCTGATGGTAAGAAAGGAAAATGACTTTTTGTTGACATTTTCAAGGGCTAACACTGTAAATTTCCTGAAAATAAATATGTGCAATTAAAAGAGCACTAACATGACTGATCTTTTGAAATTTTACTTTCTTAAAAATATTTCTAGCTGGTGAGGTGGCACATGCCTGTAATCCCTGCACTCTGGAGACTGAGGCAAATTCAAGGATGGGTTGGGCTAAATACTGAGTTGAAGGCCAGCCTGAACTACACAGCAAGATCCTGCCTCAGAATAACCACCGAAAGCTTTTTCTCCTACGATCTGCCCTCACTGTTTTCTCCAGCTACCATTTGGTGTGTGGTGTCCCGAGATGTTCTGTGTTGGTTTTGCTTTGTTTAACAGGATGGCAGGTGCGTATTAGGCATGAGTAGGGCCAAGACTGATATGGAATGCTGACCGAGGTGGGGCGGGAGTGTGTGTGAAAATCAAGGTGCTCTCTGGGCACAAGAACAAATCCTTCTTGTGACTGTGGGCGTGTTGGCTCCAAAGACAGCACAGACCGGGGGGGCTCTTGCTAACTCCGCAGCGGAAGGGGCTCATTGGTCGCCTTGGTACATTCTAGCCATTGGAAAGGAATCCAGGTGGCCCCCTTGACGCTTTATGACAGTTAACCTGCAGTTCCAGTGGTCCTCCCACACTGTCCCTGCTACACGAGAAGACAAGGTGCCCATCTAAAATGCTTTGAAGGAACTCGATGCCAGGTGCAGGACCAGCCAGGCATGTAAGGAGCCGCACAGCCCAAGCCTTCACTGCTCTCTGCAGTGGGGACCTCACAGAGTCTGTGCTACACTCACCATAGCACCCCCAAACCACCACTGCCACCAACACTTCCACTGTGCTTTGAGAGCCACAGCCCTGCATTTGAAAGCCCTCAGAAGTGTGCCACTGCCTTTGGAACGAGATGCCAGGTCCTAGGTGTGGGGCTCAGGGAGTCCCCGTCACCCCATACTCTCTGTGCCTCACTCTCCCCTTCTGAACCTCTCCCACACTCCCAGCACAGCTCTCCTGACCATCTGGGTGGCAAGCAGAGCTCTGCAGGCTGGGCCTGGCACGCTATGTGCGTGCGGTGCTCAGGGTGGTCTCAGTCTTTTCCCACCTCAGTTCCCACGCTCGATCCCCAGACAGAACTCACACGCAGCATCCTGGGGCTGTGAGGGGTTGCCATGCTCAGCTCCCCAACATCCTGCACTGTCATAGCTGGTGTTTGATTCTTTTCCACCTACAATGCTCCCCGTGCCCACGGCACAGCTCTCCAAACTCCTACCCTTCCTAGTTGGTATTAATTCCATCTTCGTGACCGCTGTGCTGAGCACCTCGGCTGAAGTCTCTTCTTCCTCTGCCTCCTCACCCTTCCAGGACTGGGACTCAGGGTTAGTTACTCCTAAGCTGCTTTCGTCCTCAGCTTTCAGAGAGTGGTGACTGACACCCATATCTACACATTCCACACGGCAGCTCCCACACAGGAGGTGCTGAACAAAGACTCGTGAAAGTAATGACAAATATCAAAAATCCACAGGTCAGGCTTTGTTAGCAGCAGGGGTGGAGGTGGGGTGGGGGGAGATTCATTCTATTATTTGTCTAGGAAATGGAGAAATTAAAGTATCAGAAAGTACAGTAATAGGCTTGGGTTTGGTGATGGGTATTTGAATTTGTAAAAGGAAAACCATTCCTTGTGAAACTTTATAGTGATCCAGTTGGAAATTCTCAAATATTTACCAGCAAGTACAAAGTAACACATGAAAAACAAGGACTTGAGCTGAGCTGGGTCACCCGAGACCTGACCCAGCCTTCACCATGGCCAGCACTAGAGGGTTCTGCCTCTGGAAGCCCCATCTGAGGAGCACGAGGTGCCCAATGGTGTGGAGCCCACAGCTCTCAGCAGAACAGAGCACAACACCCAGAGGACACAGCAGCAGGTGCAGCACCCAGCCAGGTTCTCACAGTGCTCTGGGCTCAGGTCAATGTCCAGAAACTCTCCCTGCTTCAGGGTAAGACAGCTGGAGAGACCACCATACAGGCGGGCTCTCAACTGAGCGGAAGTCTCTGGCTCTTGGAATCAACTCACAAAAGGCCAGGACTGTACTGCATGGAAGATGGAGACACAGTGAATGGCCCACATGACCTGCAATTCTCCACACCAGCCCTGCTCCGGGAGCCACCAAGGCAGCATCACGTGCGCAGCTTTTCCAAGCAACCAGGACACGAGCAGGGTGGTGCGGAGCCAGATGTGCCTGCTCCTTTCTTGGAGTAAGGCACATGTTAATGGGGCTGAGGTGAGTGGAGCGCTGTAGTGACAACCAGCCAGAAGCCAGGACCTTCTTTCCCTTCTCAGAGACAAACTTCCTAAGTAGTGGTGTTTTGTGCTTTGGTGAATCTTTTTTTTTTGGTTTTCTTGACACAGAGTTTCACTACTCAGTTCAGGCGGGCCTTGAACTCACAGCAATCCTCCTGCCTCAGTCTCCCAAGTGCTAGGATTACAGGTGTGCACCACCATACCGGGCCATCTTTTCACTGAAAGAAAATTTTGATGGAAATCACTGCCGGCCAGGATGATGTGGTACATGGAGGGAGTCATGCGTAATGGCAAGCGTCAGCCTTCTCCACCTAGCATCACGTGTGGACAGGAATGAAGTTCGACCTTTAGCTGCCACTTTCTGGAATGCTATCAAAGTAAAGTACCGCAGCAAACAAAGCCAGCTAAAACAAGGACTATATAGAAAAACACCAGTCTGGTGGCTCACCACCTGTTATCCAATATTCTGAGACATCAGAAAAACAGGGTCAACCTTTCCCAAGGGGCTGGCTTCTGTCAGCGATGTGAGGGGAACAAGCCCTGTGGCCACTAACACAGGCAGTGATGGCGTGAAAGGTGCCTCATTTCCCTTGTCTCACTGCACCTTCGTAAGAACCACCACCGAAGTGTACAGGGCTGGCACTTCTCACAACTCCGACTGTTTCTACA